TCCTGGATAACCTCTTGGCCTTTGTCTGTGATATCCGGCCAGAAATCCATGAAAACTACCGCGTAAATGGATAGAGGAAGAAGAAAGAAGTGCCTGTTCCATGGATTGGCACCTCGATGCCTCCATGGAATATGAAGCTTTAGCAAAGCTTGAGTTATATTCTTGTGAAAGGCATTAAATTATTTCTGCTTACTGGATAGTAGGTCCTTTTACTTTTTGGAGAATAGCAAATCTAGCTTCTTTGTATAAACTTAGAGCTTATCCAAAGATTTCATCTTTTTACCTCATGTTTCTTAGAAATTTAAGGGTATATGTTTGTTTTCCTATGCCTTTTAGCTCAAGCAACATATGTATATCAACACTGACTTTTTCTTTCTTAGATGTAGTAAAAAAAAAACTTTTTAAGAAAGAAAGGGATTAAATGTTTTTTCCCCTAAAGCTTTCTTGAAGGTCAGGGGCGCTATCTATGAAAAAGTAGTAAATAGTTATTTGTAACCTGTGTAAAGCAGCAGCCAGCCTTAAAATAGTCCTTTTTGGCTAAGGGTTAGAACAATGAATACTAGAATAATTTTTTGGGCTGCTTCTAGTATCTCTTAATCCAAATTACTAGATGATAGGATTCAAAAACTTGTTATTGGTGTACTGATAATCACTTAAAAGTAAATGATTTTTGTCATGCATTTCCCCCCCTCTGGTTCTGGTTCATCCTTTTTGATAATATAAAGTGTACTTTGACCCAGATGTCTACAGAATTTCACTTAGCAAATTAGCGCGTGTATCTCACACACACATTCACACACATAACTGTATTTGCCGGCGTATAAGACGACTGGGCGTATAAGACGACCCCCTAACATTTCCACTCAAAATACAGAGTTGGTTATGTACTCGCCGTATAAGACTACACCCTCTTCTGCACACCTTCCACACACCAAATAAAAGGTAAAACAATATCAGATTTGATTTGGCCCACTGAAGTGCAAACAAGCGTATTGTATTTCGTGTCA